TCACAGGCAGGGTCTAACAAACACTGTGACATGGGGAGAAATTCCAGCAGCAGGTGCCTCAAAATGAGCCGGGTACAGCTCCTCCAAAGTTTCACCTGGATGAAGCTTTAGGGAGACTCTGCTGCCCTTTCTGCTTTGTGCTGGGATGAGCACATTCAAATACAAATTTGAATTTTTGTGACCTGCAYGGGCAGCACAGGGACATTGAGCACCCCAGAGCTCCCACCCAGCCCAGAGGAGCTCCCTGGGTGGGATCAGCCCTGGTSCTGCCCTGCTCAGGAGCTGCTTGTCCCCACCCTGGCAGGAGGGACAGGGCTTGGTGGCCCCGTTCAGCTTTGCCTCTGCTGCTCTGAGGCCTTGGCAGCCCCTCACACTTGGGACAGGGATCAGGGAACCCTGCAATGGYTTGGGTGGGAAGGACCTCAAAGCCCACCCAGTGCCACCCCCCTGCCATGGCAGGGACACCTCCCACTGTCCCAGGCTGCTCCCAGCCCCAATGTCCAGCCTGGCCTTGGGCACTGCCAGGGATCCAGGGGCAGCCACAGCTTCTCTGGGCACCCTGTGCCAGGGCCTGCCCACCCTCCCAGGGAACAATTCCTTCCCAAGATCCCATCCATCCCTGCCCTCTGGCACTGGGAAGCCATTCCCTGTGTCCTGTCCCTCCATCCCTTGTCCCCAGTCCCTCTCCAGCTCTCTTGGAGCCCCTTTAGGCCCTGGCAGAGGGGGGGCTTTACAAACAGATCTCCCCTGTTCCTCAAGTTCCAGGTGCAAATTCTCTGTGCCTACCTTCACTTCCTCACACATTCCATGGTGGTGAGACCCCCCTGCAGTTGTTTATCCCTGCCTGGTGYCACCTCCAGCTGAACCTCCAAGGGAAAGATCAGACAGATCCCTGCTCCATCTCTGCACCTCCCCGCCCAGGACGACACCCAGGGTTTGCTTAGCACAGGCTGGGTGGGTTTTTTGCACCAGAGATCAAAATCCTGCTAAAACCAGCTTTGCCTTGGTGCAAACCCTGCAGGATGCCTCTCTTCCTCTGACCAAACAGATGGGTCTGTCTCAGGTCCACTTCCAACCTTCATCAGTCCCCAACATGACCAGCAGAAGGTAAAGAACTCAGCAGGAGCCAGAAACCAGGAGAACCTAGTACAGTTCCTACTCAGAAAACACTTAAATCCACAGGATGCCAGAGGGTGGGAGGGTGTCAGCACAGAAAGATCTCCCTAAACCTGTCCTGTTCGTACACACGTCCTGCACTCATGGTGGAGCAGGATCTGGGCCAGTCAGAGYCTCGGGGCTGATCTGCAGCCACTCCTGTGCCATGGCAAGAGCCCATAAACCTGGCAGGAAGCAGTGAAGAAAGGACTTTTCTCATTCACACACCCCCATGGGAAAAGGGTTTGCTGATCCATGACTGGTCAGCGCTGGGAGCAGCCCAGGAAGAGGGAGGTGTGTCCTGGCTCCAGAAGTGGCCATTTCCAGGCTCTCACTGGSATCTCTCATGTGGGATTTGCTTCCCTGGTGGATGTCATGGAATCCCAGATGGTTTGGGTTGGAAGGRACCTTCGAGATCATTTCATTCCAATCTTTCTGCCATGGGCAGGGACACCTTCCACTATCCCACAGTGCTCCAAGCCCCAATGTCCAGCCTGCCTTGGACACTGCCAGGGATGAGGCAGCTTCTTTGGGCTGATCCCCAACTCAAGGACTTGGACCAGGAGGTGTCCCTGCCCATGGCAGAGGGTGGCACTGGAAGGGCTTTAAGGTCCTTCCAACACAAACCATCCCATGATTACTCTGCATTGCCCTCCACAGCTCCTGCGAGAGAACAGGAAGGGTTAGTGGGAAAGGCAGAGTGGCTTCATGTGGCTGCCAGAGACAAGCAGATTCCCAGGGGCAGATCCGCAGGAGTGGATTCCCAGGAGCAGATTCCCAGGGGCAGATCCCCAGGGGCTGATCCCCAGGGGCAGATCCCCAGGAGCAGATCCCCAGGAGCATCCCTGGCTTTGCAGGAGCTCTCTCCCTCTTTGAGTGGCTTCTCTCAATGTATAAAGGGAGGGAGGAGAAAGAAGGAATCACACAGAGCTGGCGGGACCGACCTCTCTTCCTCCCTCCCACTTCCCTGGGGCTCCACCCAGAGCTTCCTCCCAAAAGGAACCCTCAGACGCCAAAGGCAGCCCCCACCCACCYTCAGGGTGCCCAGAACCCCCCAGAGCCCCCCATGAGCACACCTGGGTAGTCACAGTGGTGGATCCTCCTCTTCTCCAGCTCGGGGTTGTTGCGCCTGTTGTACTTGGGGGGCTGCAGCCCGATGTGGCCCTGGGAGAGGCCCCCGAYGCCGTTGGGGACCGGGGGAATCTGGGAAGACTGGACCAGCTTCAGTCCAAAGGTGGCTTCGTAGGACGGCGGGGGAGAGATGGTGTTGATGAGCTCGGGCTGGTTCTCGGGGCTGCCGGGCTGCGAGTTGGGGGGCGAGGGGGGCAGGCTGACCCCCGGCGTGGGGTAGAACTGCCCGGAGATGCTCCCAAAGCTTCCCTGTCCCTGGGTCACATGCGGATACTGCTTGAGCAGCCCCGCCGGCTGCCCGGCTCGCTGGGCCATACTGGCCACCGAGCCCGTGGCCATGGTGACCCCGCCGAGGCAGCTGACGGCCGTGGTGCCGCCAGAGGAGGAGGCCAGGGCCGGGATGTCGGCACCGGCAGCGCCCAGGGGCAGCTGGAAGAGCTGGGACTGCTGCGGGTGGGCGGAGAGCGGGATCTCGGCCGGCATCTCCTGCTTGATGAAGATGTTGTTGACCGCCACCGACTGGGGCATGCTGAACACGCTGGTGAAGTCGGGCAGGGTCTGTGTGGGGCCCGAGGCCGACGAGCAGGGCTGAGAGAAGCCAGTGCCCGGCTCGGTTTTGATCTGCGGGAAGGGGGCGGCGGGTTTGGGGGGCCGGTAGAGCCCCGTGCGCAGGTGGGTGGTGTCCGGCAGGATGACGTTGATGTTGACGCTGTAGGGTGCCGAGCTGGGCTTCTCCGTGGAGAAGAACTCGTCCACCACCGAGGCGCTCTCCCGGCGGTACTTCTTGTCCGAGAGCATCGGGACAGGYGGCACCTCGCTGGACAGGTACTTGTCCATCTCCGAGCGTGCCTGTGGCCAGAAACACGGACAAGAGAGCTGGGAAAGGTGACCTTGACACCCAGYGGGAGGAGGACAAGGTTCAACGGGGATTTGGGCAAGCAGGAAATGGAGGCAGCAGCAGGAACAGTGCAGGAACCTGAGCTCAGGTGATTTAGCTCCGGGTCTGACTCAGCCAGGCTCCCCAGGGCTGAATCAGCATCCTCTGCCCCACTTCCCCCTCCCTGATAACGCAGGGCAGCCGGGGACAGGATGAGGGAGGACAGAAATCCAACGTGGTAAGGGGGAAATGAGCTTTGGGTACATTTTGACCACTAAAACAAGAGGATTTGGTGCTGGGAATGGGATCAATCCAGTCAGGATCACACGTCAGAAATGATGGATCTGCACCTCAGATATGYTGGCTCTGGTCTCCTTTAAACTCAGCAGCCTGAGRAGTGTTTTATTCTGGGACAGTCTCRTTAATTAACTGAGGAATTCTGGGACAGTATCTTTAATTAATTTGGAATCATGTAGGCCTAGAAATCTAAGCGATATTGCCACTAATTTAATTAATTGAGAATAATTTGGGCCACTAATTCAGTGGGTTCTGAGCCTAAAATGGGAGCAGGCTTCCTGACTCACCTGGGCCGTGACTCAGCTCTGGCCTAACCTTTGGCTTAGTTCTGGTTTTACAGAGCTGTTTTTACAAGCCTGGCTCCTCCAAGCTSCCAGGACCTCCTGGTTCACCCCCCTGGATCCAGGCCCAACAATCCCRCAGCCTGGTGGAGCAATCCTTGAGGAAATCCATCCCCTGGCACTGGGTGATTCAGGTTCTGCTCGCTGTGGGTGCTGTGCAGAGCTCCAGCCCTGAATTACGTGGCTCTCCAAGAGTCAGAGCCCTGGGAGCCTCATTCCCACGGAGAGCAGCTGGAAAACCACCAGGGTTCCCTGGCAGAGCCTGGGCGCACTCCAGGAGCGGGAGCTGAGCTCAGCCCACACCCTGAGCTGAGCCTTCCAGCCCTGAACTGTGTCACCCGAGTGCCATGGGCCAAAGTCAGCCCTGCCRCCACCTCAGGGCTCTGAACAAAGCTGGGCAGGAGCCAAGAGATTTCCTCACTCTTTCCAGGGAAAGGATCACGGAGCTTCCAGYTCGTACGGAGAGCCTTTGCACCTCCGGGAGCTGTGCTGGCAGCACATGGCTGAGCTGGCGGCTACCCAGGCACGGGGACAGCCACAAAGCCACCCTGTGCCATGGGGAAGGAGCTCGGGAGGCCGGGCTGGGAAGGGCCACACTGGGGCTGGTGTGTGCACACACCGTGCTGGGAATCCCGTGGGATTAGGGAGTGGTGATGTGGGGAAAACACCTCCAAGGTCACCGGGTCCAGCCACGGCAGGTCCATCCTCGTCACACGTGGAGGTCCTGAAAGCTCTGACAGCCCCTCTGGAGAGGAAACCCTCACTCAGGAGGAGCCTAAAGCCACTCATGGAATCATGGAACCTCCTGAGCTAAAAGGGATCCAAAGGATCATCCAGCCCAGCTCCCAGCCCTGCACAGATACCCCAACAATCCCACCCTGTGCATCCCTGGCAGCGCTGTCCAAACGCTCCTGGAGCTCTGGCAGCCCCGGGGCTGTGCCCATTCCCTGGGGAGCCTGGGCAGTGCCAGTACCCTCTGGGGACAGAGGAACCTTTCCCTGAGATCCTTCCCAACCTCAACGCAGCTCCAGCCATTCCCTGGGTCCTGTCCCTGGTTCCTGCCCTCCCTCTTCACCCCGAGCCATCAGCGGGAGGCAGGGAAGGGACTCAGATCCTTCACCTCCATTCCATCCCCATGGAGATCTCCCACACCCATCCTGTCCCTGCTGCCCAGTGTGAGTTCCCTCCCTTGGGAAAGCCTGGCCAAGCCCTGGAGCCGAGCCCTGGGTGCTGTTGGCAGCCAGGCTGGCACGGGCCGGGTTCCCTGGGGAACCARCTCGCCCCGGGCAGTTTGGGATGCCACGCATTCCTGAGCAGTGAACGGCCCCACTTGGCAGCAGCAGGGGCAGGGCACGGTGCTGGTGCCTTTTCCTTCCACTTGTCCCTTATCTCCGGCATTTCCCTTTCTCACCTTCCCTTCCCAAGGGAACGGAATACAAATGGGGAAAGCTGTGGAGCTCAGAGGCCTTTCCAAACGGAAGGATTCTGTGGAGGGCCCAAATTTCAGATGCCAAAGTGGTGTTCTCAGCTGGACATTCCCTGTCCTGTCCCCTGTTTGGTGTCACCCAGCCTCTCTCTCCATGGCTACCCCTCCCTGCAGGGCAGAGCCTTTTCCCTGTCCTTCCATCAAAACACAGRCTCCTGGGAGAAGGGGTGGTGAGGGACACAGGGGTGGCTGTCACCACACAGGAGGACAYCAGCCCTGCCCCACTGCTCTGTGCRTCTGGAGGACCTGGACTGATCCCACCCCAAGGAATGCTCCACCACGACCCWGTTCTGCAGGAATCCCAAGTTCCAGAGTCCTTCCCACAGGGAGAAATGGGAACTTTTTGTTTGTGGCCCAGAAGCACCTGGAAAACACTGCCCAGCCAGGTGCTGGCACCTTGGACTCCAAAGCACTTCCCAACCAGAGCCCATCCAAACCCAGCAGCTGAGGGAGCTGGGAAGGGTCTGGAGCCCCAGGAGKGGCTGAGGGAGCTGGAAAGGGGCTCAGCCTGGAGCAAAGGAGGCTCCGGGGGGACCTTGTGGCTCTGCACAACTCCCTGACAGGAGGGGACAGCSGGGGGGKYSGG